CTGGTTATATAGTGTTATTTTCTACTACGCATACACACACACACTGTAGTCTATAAATATAGTTGTACGTCACCAGAATGTGTCCTCAGAAATGAATCGATAGGCAGTTTCACAGTTCGTTGATGGTATCAGGTACCACACACCTAGGCTACACGGTTTATATTGTGTATAGTCTATTGCTCCTAGGGCCATGATGAACAAAACACCAGGTAATTAAATCAAGCATGACTGAAAATTACACAATCAAGAAGTGCTGTAAACATAAGGTACATGAGGTTGCTGCCAGCAAAACGTGTGGATAGTCTTCCATTACACATTTTGTTGTAAGGGAAAAAAGTACATTTACAACCACAACAAAAATTATAGTGGGGGCGAAGGGTATAGCTAAGTAGGAAAGTGCACGCTTGGCATGTGTAAGGCCCTGAGTTTAATCCCAAACACTAAAAACAAAAATTAAAATATAGCCATAGCATACACATAAGCCAGTAACATAGTCTGTTATTATCTGTATCAAATACTGCATACTGTACTTAACTGTATATGCTATAATTTCATACAGGTTGGAAGTGTATTGTTTATATTAGCATCACCATAAAAACACGAGACACATTCTCTGACACTTTCCAGTTTGCCTTTTATTTTGCCTCCAATTTTTTTCTTTTATTCTTTCTCTGTATTATATGTTTTCCTATATCTCGGCAACTGGATTTAAACATAAATACATCTTTAAATTGTTCAGTAAGTCAATAAATCAAGATGGAAGAGTCTCGAGGGAGTCTAGGAAGAAGACAAATGAGTGAAATTAATATCAATTAGTCTTTAGCTAAGGTAGCCATCATCATGAAAGGAAATGACAGAGTGTAAGGTCAGCTAATCAGAATTCTTTCTTGACATACTTGAGGTTTTGAAATATAAGGTGGCATGATTGCAATGCAAATTACAGTAAACTGTTCAGATATTCCAACTGATCATATTAAAAATAAAACCAACAAACAGAAGTTTAATGATTTTCTGCTCTACTAGCACACTGTAAAATGGTACTGGTCACTTGAGAATGGCAGTACCATCTTCCTCGATGAAATAAAGAGGAATTTATTGTAGGGTTCTTTAGATTCCTGTTCCTTTTCAGTTTTTTTATATCATTTTAAATTTCCCTTCGTAGAATCAAGCTTAAAAACTTCTCTTTCTCTATGCAGCCAAAAGACAAGAAATAGGGATATTAAAAAAGAATACTCTTTAACATGAAAAGTAATATTAATACAATAAATAATGATAGCATTGAGCTTCTCTGTATTCTAGGCATTTTAAAAAGCATTTCTATATATTACCTCATTTAATTCTTACAACAGTCTATGAGACAACAGTTATTATTCTGGTCAATCAATGATGAGGAGATTGAATAACACAGACGTTAACTGTCTCACAGTCACACAGTTTATTAAGTGGTAGCATCATGATAATACCAAGGTAGATTACACTACATGTATAGTGCATTGCATGTATTTTTTCACTTAACTCACATAAGTACTTTATGAAGTACATAATTATTTCCCCCCATTTTATACATGAAGAGATCAATTCTTAGTGTGATTAAGTAGCACGGGTCTAGGTAAATTCTGTCTTCAAAGTCCCATCCCAACTCTTTCCTTCCTAATGGGCTCTTCTAGGTTAGTGCAGTTTCTGCACTGAGTGGGAGCTCAGATCCTCAGTAAACTAAATATAAGAGCAAATAATGAAAAGGAGGAGCAAGTGGAATAAACACAGAAAGACATATAAAAATAAATAGATGTTTTGACCTAGACTCGTGTTAAACTAACACGGGTATTATGAATAATAGCCTTTATATCCAAGCAGAATTTGGACTTGCTTTTAGATAGCAGGAAACAAATTTAGAGTCTATTGTGCAATATTTTAGGACTATTATCAGACTAACACAATCAAGATATATTGGAAAAATTCACTAGTTGTACCAGTCAGTGTTCACTAGAGAAGGTATACAAACAGATATAACATGAGATATATAAAGAATTTACAAGACTGGCTTACAATGGCCACCCACAGAGTCGATGAGGAAGAGTGGAGAGGGTGTCTTCACACTGGAGACTGAGGGTTCAGCGGAAGGTCTGGAGCTTTCTGCAGTGTCCTGTTCAAGCCCATATCAAACGGCTGATTGGTTTGTGCTGCGAGCCAGGAGATGAAGGTAAAGACTGGAGCTCCTGCAAATCCATCCTTCCTTTCCCCTTTGTAGTATCCAGGCAACAAGCCACCCTGGGGTAAGTCTAGTGTGTGGAATTGCTGAGCCAACTTAGTTGAGCTTCTCTTACTCAAGTTGACACAGTCTGTCAATCATCATACTAGTCCACCCAAAATTTACTGAGCATGGTGTTAAGTAATGATAAAGAAAAATAAATGTGGTCTTCCATAAGTTCAGTGGAGGAAAGGGTAGATAGAGACCCAGGAGGATCTGATACACATTCAATCCACAATGCAATGTGATAGGAGACATGAGAATTGTCAAAGGTTATCAGAGTACAGAACAATTATAGACAGCCTCCAAATCAGATAAGTCAGTTCCCAGGGTACGGCAGTTCAAATTAGTCTAAAAAGTTGTGCAGTAATCCAAATTGAAGTCTAGTAAGTCTCCCTCTGCTGACAAAGTCATAAATCGTAAGACTTTTCTGCCCTATTTTCACTAAAAGTATATTGACATACAAATGCTTTTTTTTAAAAACTTTTCACAAGGTCATGGGAAAAGACACAAACACAAAATAATTTCTTAACTGAATTCTGTAAATTAAATCTGGCTAAAGTTTTAAAAACAATGACCATTTGCTCAGGCTAGTCCTTAGCAGATCACGTTTTTCTGCACTTAGGATTTTGAATCAGCTCTACTATCAAGATCAAGGCATTGATCTTCTTTGCTTGTCTTGGGTATATGTATGAATAATTATGTGTACGTCTTTAAATACACAGAGTGGGGTGTTAGCGTGTGATTGGAAGATTTGAAACTGCAACCAAAAAAGAGAAAGACTGAAAGATCCTGTTTTCATTAAATATCATTAAGAAGAAAAATCCTTCCCATCTTGAGCATTCAGATTATATTTTCTCTTAGGGATAAAATACATCACTTATTAAACCCAATTTTATCCCTTTAATGCCCTTAGACTAGGAAGGAAACATTTTGAGGAAATTAGAGTCCATGTCAAGCAAAACAACTACAGGTATAAAGATAGGCTAAAATGCGTTTAAAGATTTGAAAAAGTGAAAAAAAACAATTTTATGTTTAAAAAGCAGAACAGTGGGAATGAAACAAAATACAAATGTGTAATGTACATACTCTTGCATATACACACATCTCTGTATAACAGTAGCTTGATTCTTCTAGAAAACTTATTTCGAAGCGTGGTAACCCTGTATCTAAAGATCACAGCAGAAAATGCAAGTCAACAGTGAGATGTCACTGGCTGCGATCGAGCTGTGAGGTGCTGGGAAAGTCTAGAAAGGACAGTTGGGGCCAGACTAAAACGTGTGCTGGGAGATGGAAGGGGAAAAGGCAAAGGTGGACAAGGGAGTTCTTAAAAAAGGTTAACTTGAGTGAATCTACTTTCAACCTTAAAGAATCAGCTTGAATTAGATAGATGCCACCGGATGTTAGCTCCTTCCAATACTGGAAATCCATCAGGATTACACACCATACTTGTCCCATCTTTAACGTAACTTATTTTAAAATTCCCATTTCTTGGGAGGGGTAGGGAATTTAGGTCACGCTTAGCATGTGTGAAGCTCTAGGTTCCATCCCCATCACACACACACACACACACACACACACACACACACGCACAAAATTTATTTTTAAAATCTCATTTCTTAATTTCAATCCCAGGAATAGCGTTTCAGATTAATGATCTGGCTTCACAGTATGGGCCCATTTCGGTTTATTTTCTTTCTGTTCTCAAAAGCTATCCTCTTGACCTCTGTACTGGGATGCTGATTGTTGCCTGTTTCTGAATATTTTACTAAAGCACTTTTTGGGGATGAAACGGGGTTGACGCGGGGCCGCTATGCCATTTCTGTGACAAGATGCTCCGGCTTTTCTCTCACATAAAACACCTGTAATTTAGCACACAGCGTCTTCTAGAGATCTGAAGCGACTCCCACTCGCACCACTCAGCCAGCGAAGTCACCCTCGTTTCAGGGCTCAGAGATCGGCTCCCCCTTGTGCTTCACCCTGGTGGGAGGGCTCACACTCGAGGGCTCGCCCCACTAGGGGGAAACAGTGAAAGCAGCCACGCAGTCGGCGGTGCTCTCGGCCGCGTCGGTGTCGGTGCGGAACGCGCGGGCGCGGGGCCAAGCGGCCACCCGGAGGGCAGGAGGGAGGGAAGGGAAGGTGCGGGGCCGGGCGGTAACCAGCTCAGGGTGCCACCTGCCCTCCGCTCCGCGCACCTCCGAGTCCCTCCTCGTCCAAGTTGTCACTTCTTGCCCCTCAGAGGTAGCAAAGAGAGGGCGTGTCAGTAGCGATAGTGAGCTCTAGAAAGGCACCGCAGCGGCTCCACGCTCTGGGGCGTCCGGAGCCGCGCCCCCGGACCGCCACACCTCGCGGCGCGGCCCCCACCCGGCCGGGACCCGCGGGGGAACTACAGCTCCCGGCAGGCCCCGCGCCGGCCGCGCGCCCCCGCCCGCGCGCCCCGGCCCCCCGCCCTGCCGCCTCAGGACGGGACGGGGAGGGCGGGAGAGGAAGGGGCGCCGGCGGCGGCGACGGCTGCGGTGGCGGCGGCGGGCGGGTTCCTGCGACGCGCGTGAAGCCCCGTCCGCGCCCCGTCTGAGACCTAGACGCTAGCGGGCGCGGAGTCTCGGGACTGGCCGAGCCCGACTCTGTAAGTACTCGCCTCAGGGGGCGCGGGGCAGAGCCGGAAAAGTTCGCGCCGCCGCCGCCGCCCCTTTGTTCTCGCGGCCCGCCGGCCCCTCCCCCACCGGCCGCCCGCACGCGGCGACAACGGCGGCGGCGACCAGGGCAGCGGGACTCCGGGCGCGCGGGGCTGGGCGGCGGCCGGGGCCGGGCGGGAAGTTGGGGCGGCGGGCGGCCCAGGGAGCGGGGCGCCAAGTTCCGGCGTCCGTGCGAGGCCAACTTGGATACGCGCTCCTCCGGTGACCGCCGCGCCCGGTCCGGCGAGGACCTTCTCGGTCCCCGGGTCCCCCGAACTAGTTCCCGAAAGCAGACCCGCGGCACTCTGTGCGGAATTTTGGATGCTGCTGTTCTTTTTCTCTTCGCTTTGTACCCGTCACAAAGTGGTGAGTAGATAGTGCTTGGAGAATGTCAGACCCCCCACCCTGATTTCCTGGCTGCTTGAGTTCTACAAAGTTGCAAGGTTACTCTGAGTTCTCGCGCAGGCCAGTGGTTTTGTTTTTGTTTTAAAAGATGAAACACTGAAGAGTGCAACTTTCTTTGATCAAAAAGTTAACCACGCACTGCACGATTGCCTGTTGGATACTTTATTTCAAGTCTTTGCAACAAGAAACATAGGCCTTGCAGTCTGCAGACACGAATATAAATCAAGCGACAGGCGACCTGCAGACTTTTCCACACAGATTGAAGGCATGGACGCAACTGTCTCTTCAACCACACCCATCCCCACAGGAAATAAAACTATCAGTGTTGTCTTTGATTAGGAAAGATAAGTACACCCTGAACTACTACTATTTCATAGGACTTGGCCTTTTTAAGTTACGTAGCCACAAATGAAACAAAACTTTTAAAAGTCCTAATCTATACCCTAGAAAATGTTCTTCTTCTTGAAATGCTTTTACTTTGTATTTAACGGGTTTTAGCGATTTCCATGTTGCTTATTGGAGATTAAACTTAATACAGTGAGGGCAGGCAGTACCTATGGATTTGCTGCAAATTTCCATAAAGGTCTCCCACTGAGATCTAGGCCGTTTTTCTCTTAAACCTTACCTCTTAAGAATCTAGATTGAGATCAAATTTGGCAGTTCAACTAAAAAGAAAAAATTACTAGCTTTAGTAAAAGCAGTATTTAAAACATATCATCGGAACCTTTGTAGTGAATTTTGCTTCATAATACACAGGAAATGTGGTGGGCCTGAGCCAATTCCTATTTGAGATGTGAGTTATAAAGCAGTTCACGTGTCATGATCATTCAGGTTCAAGATTGTTGGCTGGTGTATATCCTGAAACTAATTTTTGAAGCATCCCTGATAGTAAGTCTTTTACTACTCATATTTTATAAGCTCTTGGTTTCATCACATGATCTCTTTAAAAACACATTTCTTTTTCTGTGTGAACAGTTTTTGGTTCAAATAGCTGCCTACAAAAAAGAACTTAATAAATGAGCTTTCAAATGTTAAATTTTTAAAATTTAAGAATGAGAACACCGTACAAGAAAAATTGGACAACTATATGGTTTCTTAAATGTGTTTTTAAGGGACATTTTATTCTCATTTTTTAAAGTTGATAAAATATATTAACAATTGTGGAGTTAATTACTATTAAAGAAAATTACTTGTGAAGAATTCAAAATTTAATATGTGGGAAAATTTATTTGCTAGCGTGAGTTTTAATTTTATTTAATAATCACACCCTCCTATGCTGATCATATTTGAGCCTCTGATTATGTAACTCAGATTGAACTTCTTTATATGAATGGCTTTTTGGAGCAATGGTTTAAGGAAAAAAATTGAGATAAGGTTCTTAGGAGATATTTTAGTTTTAATGTTAACATAGAAAAAGTTTTCTCAACTTGTGTGGTTAGTTTATAGTAGCAATATGTGAGAAATTGCCCTTTGGCTGTTAGCCAATCAGATTTCAGATACTACTGGTGCAAAGATGAAGATGTATCAAGCTCAACATAGATTCGTTTTGCATTGCCAGACTGGCAATCTGTAATCCTATTATTGGATATACTTTTCAGTGCCGAGCAGAAAGCATACATCATGTTCCCTCTCAGTACTCTGCCTTGACAGTGGACGAACTAAGATTCAAATGTCACTGTCCCTGATGAGTAGAATTTCAGAGGAAATGATTTAGTTTGATGCTGAGTTTTAAAGAGCATTAATCTAAGGTAATAGTCATGTTTTTAAAAATATATAAGTAGTTAAATGTATTATTACAGAATAAGATTTTTAAAATATATTTGAGTTTTTACACAGTATATGGTAGGTATAAAAGTAACTTTAAGGTTTTTAAACAAAAGCAGAAAATGAATGTTGACTTGTGCACTGGTTAGTATTGCAGCAAAAAAGGTCACCCTTTTTTATTTGCTTAAAGAATACATGTATGTATCAGTGTGGGGATGGGAGATACAACCTTCTACCTCATTACTATTACTAGTACATAAAACTGAACCTGGACAACTCTTTGATGGAGTCATAGCAGATATTATGCTAAATAGAAAAGCATTTTACATCTTCACTTTAACCTTTACTAAGTGCAAAAAATACTGGTTACACACTAAGTAGTAACTTTTTGAAGTATTTAATAACTACATATGGTTTGTCTTCCTGGAATTGTCTGTCCTCTGTATTTCTTCAATTATTAGTTATTCAAAGATCCCCGCTTAAATATTGTTTCTTTAAAAGAACTCCATGAGAGCCCAGATGAAATTAAATCCTCTTAGTGTGCTCTGTCATATCACTGTTTGTGAGTTGCAAAAAGAGCAGAGCCCATTTCTGTTTTGGTCACTGTAGTATAACTCTAGGATCTTTCATAGCTGTCTGATTAATAAATTGAACTAAGTATTTATTGAATGAAAAAAGAGCTGTTGTTAGAGGCTCTCATTAGAGACTTTGTTAAGGTAGGAATTAAAGTGATGAGAAGAGGGGGAAGCACCTGAAGGGAAGTAGATGGGCTTATAATGTTATCAGAAAACCTCATCCAAGTGCCGTGTCACCGTCTTTGTAATAAGTGAGCAAAATGGGCTTAAGAGGCTTCGTTGTTCTTTCAGGGTAATATCAGTTTCAGTGTGACAGATATGTAAGCACATTTAGGTGGGACACATAATAGCTCCCCAAAAGAATATTTGAGATGTTCCAAATAAACATTAGAAATTCTTGGCAAGTAGACAATACTGTCATTTTAAGCCTCTCTCATAAGTGTGAGAAACACTCTCTCATTGATAAAACAATCTGTAAATTTATAAGATGTACTCTTTGAGTTTTCTAGTTGATACATAAAGACAAAAACTAAACACAAAGGTTCATATAGAGTTGTTAGATTTCTTTCAATACTCAGTCTTAATGTTTTGCCTCTTACAGAGCAAATCAAGGTAATTTATGAATCAGGAGAGGGAAGACAGGATGAATGTGCAAAAACTGATATGATAGCTTCTTGGTTTCTTACATTCATGTTCATGCTGATACTATAAAAAAAAATCAGGCTAGGAGTATATTTCAGTGGCATAAGTGCCTGCCTGGCAAAGACAAGGTCCTGAATTTGATTCCTCAGTACCATATAACAATAATAATAATATAATAATTTATACAAAATGATACATTGCTTATGAAGTTATCACTAGTTCTGGTAAATCAGTCAACTGTATTATGAGACAATTACTGTTATTTGATTAATAGTAATTAACATGTTAGAGATTTCTTGGGCAGACATCTGTGAAAAAATTATTACTATTTAACACAGCAGTATAGTATTTTGAAGTATTTTTGTACAGAATTATAAATATTTTACTACTTTATTATGATAGTTCACATTTTTACAACTACTCAAGTTAGCTGAGTTCCAAAGTTCATTCTTTAGCAAGACAGCTTGTGTTAGGTTGTTCCATGTGGAAAGAAATAGTAGAAAGAACAAGGGATTTGGAGTTGGGGGCACTTTGAATTGCTTCCATCATTTTCTAGCTATGTAGTTGTGGGCAGTAAAAAGCGGTGGTTTCATTTCTGTAAAATAGCTGAATCTTTTGGGATGGTGCAATGATTTAATAAAGGACCATATCTCACTTGCAGAGTTTAACATAAAGTAGAGGCTTGTTAGTTCCTTTAATCACTTTAAAAATAGCTAAAACTTTCTGAACAGTTTGAACAGTTACTGTATGCCAGGTACTGTTATAGATAGGGACTTTACATGCAGAAATTCAGTCCTTACCCTATTGGTGATTCATGTAGAGAGTGCAGTCATCTTCGCTTCTACTTTCTGCAGTAATGTTGAATAAAACCAATTCTTCTGTTAACACCTCTTCAAATATTGGAAGACCACTTACTCTGTTTGATTTTAAGCATATACAATTATTTATCATAGAACTTTTTCCATCTTTATATATGTATCCCTCTGCCCCAGTCTAAAAATCTATGACTCCAAAAATGTAGACCATAAAAATAAACATAATATTGATGTAAGCCAACTAATAATAGATGTACAGATTAACACCGATGGATTTTCAGTGCCTAGAAGATTTGGGTTTGCATTAATTCTTTAGGCATCTATTATGAAACAGCTGATGTTAAACTCTTCGGTTCATAACTCATACTCCTGAATAGCTTCAAAGTCAGCATTTCCCCCATTTGTTTGTTGTACATTGAACTTGATGAAACTAAAGTATATTATTTAACCTTGTCAGGTTTCACTTTAATTTTAATTTATTTCTCCTGGGTTTTTCAGCCTGCAGATTTTTATAAGCATATCCTTTGCATTTTTATTACCTCATATATAATTTTTTTTAAAAATAAGGCTAAATGTAGAATTCTAAGGTCTACCCCCTAACACTTTCCTCATTTAAATTGACAGTTTCCCAACTGCACCAACTTCCAACTCACTTGAGCACCATATTTACACATAGATGAAAAACCATCTCAAATACTGTTTCTGTCAGAATACACCTGCCCCTACTTGGAAACACTTGTGCATGTACAGGCGCGCGCGCGCGCGCGCGCACACACACACACACACACACACACGTACACAATGGCTTTGGTAATTAGTGACTTGCGGCAAATCCTTTAAGCTCTGAACTTGTTTTCTCAGTTGTAAAATGGATTGTTGTGAGGTTTAAATGAGGAAGTGCTTAGAACACTGGCAGGTTCTAGGAGCTCAGTGGATATAAGCTATTATGCTTTCTTTTATCTAAGAAGTCTGACAGTTACTCTTCTAAGTTGAAGTGGATGGCATTATTTCTTGCTTTGAATTCAAGTTGACATTTAATGATCATTATATTCTCTAGTCATTCACAAACCATTTGCTTCATAATCTATTCTTAAATTTATCTTAAGGATTTACTAGTTTAAGTATATTATTTCTGACATTTACTCACCTAGCCCTCAGTACTTGGAGAAACTGTACTTAACTCCAAGTCTTGATTACTTCTTTCATTCCAAGTTCTTTCTCCAACATTTTTGGATTCAGCTTTGTGACAACACTTGCTCACTTCTATAACTGTATGCAAATAAGTCCCTGGACACAGAGACTTGAACTTATGTAAAATCATTTCAGTCTCAAATTCATGAAGCCCCGGTTTCAGTTCTCAGTGCCTTTCTGTGCTTTATTTAAAAACTGTTAGAGAAGATAGGCAAATAGAAGTTGAGCAATTGTGTCTCTGTGTGATCTCTCAACCTTAGCAACATCCTCTCTGAGCAGTGATTCTCAGTTCCTTTTTCTCTTTGAGAAATAGTATGTCATTGTGGAGACAGTACTGGTTAACAGAGTATGAAACCTGGGTTCTGATTCCCACTCTGCTACTTCATAGTCATGTGATAAGTTGCTTTACCACCTCTGCTTCAATGTATTCTTCTGCAAAAATGGTAGTATTTGCTTGTCAACTCTCAAGTATCAAGAGATAGAGAATGTGAAACATTTATAAAACTACCAAGTGCTATACAGTGTAAGATGAAATAATAGTAATTTACTTGAAAGTAACTCTAAATGCTTTTAACAGTTTTTTTCTGACCTTTTCTCATTTTTAATACCACTGTGTTTTTATTTTTTGCTCTTCTGTCATGTTCATCTTAATTTAGCCCCATCATCTTCTTTGCAGAGTCATTCAGCACACAAGATGTTTCACTTTTTTATCCTTGGCATTCTTTATGGGTACATAGATGACATTTAAAAGGTTCTGTCTCTTGTAAATTATTTCGCTTAGCCATGTAGGGTTATACTTTCATACCTTTTTCTTTTCACACTGTGCTTTCACTGTCAGTAGTGTCCTCCTTCCTGCTGCTAGAGATCCCTTGTGATGAGGTCACTTTCTTTAAAGTTCCTGTCATTAATAGGTCTACTTTCATACTTCTTTGTTGGCTACATAACCAACGGTCCAAGCTTCCTACTTCCTTAGCCTTCTCAAAGAATTTTTCAACAAAGCAAATCAAGAGTTGTATTTTGGTACAATTAGACTTTTAATATATTTTTTAAAAGAATACTCTTCTTACATTAGGAAATTATTATATGTATTTTATATGGCTGATTGGTATATATTTTATATTTGTGATGATATCACTTTTACTTTTTTGTCCCTTCTGTTTTCTGTTTTTGTCATAACTCAGTTGTATAATGTAGAATAAAAATGTTGGTGTTTCATTAACTTAAATTTTTTATTCAAGTTTCACAAATTACTAAGTAATAGGAATATTTTTTCAGGCAGGAGACTCTGTGTAAATTGTATATTGCAAAAAAAATGGTTGATTAAAAAATGGCTACTCAGTAGGATGTATTAGTGAAATACAAACATAACCAAGAATTATCATTTGAAAGCTGTAGGAATTCTTGTATTTTTAAATTGTCAATTGTATATAAAATATTAAAAACCTTTTTGAAAATTCCTTCTAGGCTGACAACATCAACCTTTCTTGATGGACCCATTCATCAAATGAAATATGCTTGTACTATTTGTAAAAAGCTTTTTATCTCAACATAGAAAAGCTTCACCCCTAAAATGGAAATGAGGACATTTGATAGGCTGATTTAAGTAGTGGATATTAAGATATTCCATCAAATCATTGAACCAGAGGATAAATATTGAATAAATTAACCCCAATACTGTTTTTTACCCAGGAAGATTTCATCTTGAGAGAAAAAGAACTTTGTTTTCTGAAATGAAAAATGAGACAAGAACAGGCTTAAAAGAAAATAGGTGAAGATATTAGTATAGTAAATAAGCAATGTCAACGATTATTCTCATGAAGATATAACTCAATGATGTGAAGTCCTTCACAGATCCCAGGTTTTGGTCCTAAAGACGAGACTTTTTTGATGGAACTCATTAAGAGAAGTAGTATTTTTTGTTTATTCAAACTGCAGTAACAGAATTTGTTACCATTGGTATGAGTGTCTTAATAGAGGAAATAAAGAAACTTTCATCTAAATCAAAAGTGCAGTCATTTTTGTGCTGCCCTTATTTTGAATACCATTTAAAAAGAATTGACAACTATTTTTAAAGATTAAAGAAAGGCAGATGTCTGCAAATAATTCCCCTCCATCAGCCCAGAAGTCTGTAGTACCTGGAACAATTCCTGCTGTGCTTCCAACTTCTCCATGTTCAAGTCCTAAGACAGGATTCTCTGCCCGACTCTCTAATGGCAGCTTCAGCGCACCACCCCTCACCAACTCCAGAGGTTCTGTGCATACAGTTTCATTTCTACTGCAGATTGGCCTCACGCGGGAGAATGTTACCATTGAAGCCCAGGAGCTGTCCTTATCTGCTGTCAAGGATCTTGTGTGCTCCATTGTTTATCAGAAGGTACTGTGCAAACTATTTATATCAATAGTTTTTCTAATTAATAGTTTCTAATGCTTCTGTATAAATTATACATGTTAACAATGACTTAACACATGAATCCATTGGTAATTTTTGTCCCTAATTATGAGTGTGTTTAGAAGCATTTGAATAGATTGTGGGCTGAAAGTCTGAAATTTCAGAATCTAATTGGAATCTCCAGTATATTCTAGACTGAAAACATTCTTTATCCCAGCATTAAAATACCACTATTTGTCTTTTAAAAACTGAAGAATCTGTAAAATCAAAGGGACATAAGAAATCTTAATTGTTTTTGGACAAAGTCAGAAGGTAGAAGGATGTAAAAAGACACTGAGAGGGTACTTTACCAAAAAGCTGGAACACAGCAGTGACCACTTCCACACATTGTGCTTCTAGGTGCTCTGTGTTTTGTCTTCTCTTTTAGATTTCCTTTCCATTTAGATTTGGATTACTCTTCTAGGGAGATACTCAGAGTCTACTTAAAATATCATGTTAATATGGGAGGACACACTTTCACCTTAAAAAATAGGTAAATCAGTTTTGAAAGTGTGACATAATATTTGAAAATTCAAAATGGTTTTATTTTGTTCCCCATTTTCTACCCTACATCATACCAGTTTTTAAATAATTTAAGTTAAATGGCCTTAATTTTGACTAAAAGTGGATGAGGTAGTATGTTTTTTATTTACTGTGAACTATTTATATGGGTTATATGAATTGGTTTCCTTTTCATTACAGATTACAGAGATTCTTTTACAAGATTCTTTTGCAAATAGTTTCTACTTTAAAGATAATATTTAAACTTACAAGGTCTCACTATGTAGTGCAGTCTGGCCTTGACCTGACTTATGTAGCCCAAACTGGACTCAAACTTACAGTGATCCTCCTCCTCAGCCTCCCAATTTTGGGGGTTATAGGCATATGCCACCATACCTGGCTTACTTTTGTTTTTTAATTGACATGAACATTGTATTTATTGCATATAACAAGTTTCACAATGGTACCTATTGTATAATGGCTATATCGAGCTAGTTAACTTTGTCTGCTTATTTACTTCAACTAATTCACTTGTTATGTAGATGCATACTGATATTTTTCCCCACAGAACTGTAGAATTAGCTATATTATTTACTAGGTGACTTTGGCTCAGTGATTTTATTCTCAAAATCACAGTTTGCTGATGTGTCAAATCGAGTTCGAATGATTTTCAGTATATAATTCTTGATGTGAAATTTCGGAACCTTTAATTCTGAATTTGAACCCTCATGTTTTGCTAGAGGCAGGAAAATGAAAAAGGAATTTCAAGAGGTAAATGACCTTTTCAGGTTCTAACTGGAAAGAAATCTAAAGGGGACCGCTTAGATTTTGGGATTTTGCACAATGCCTTCATGAATCTAACTTATGTGGAAGATGGAAAAACTATGTCCGAAATTCTTTTCTTTTTACCTTCTCTCTTGTCTGAGACAGCTTGCTCACTAGTTATCCATTTTCCTTACCTACACATGTACAATTCCAGATTAACTCCTAGGGCTCTGAAATAATTAGTTGAGTGATATTTAGAAGTTATTTTGAATCTCTTCATAATTTTGATTTTACATGAAAGGGGAGTCATTTATAGAGATGATGATTTCCCTATCAATGAATGCTCCAGATTTTTAAAATAGTAAAGACAGATTACATTAATAATAATAGCTAGCATATATGGAATGGTTATTGTATACTTGATTCTGTTCTCACTACACATATTTCATTCCTTCTTCTCACTGTTTGAGGTGAATATAGTCATATGTAAGGAAACTGAAGCACATAGGGATTAAGTAATTTTCCAAAGTATTTAGCAGTAAGAATTCAGAGCTCATGTTTTAAATTGTGTTCCAGCTAACAATATTATCTTTCTATTATCAAGCATTGCACATCTATAAAATGTCTTCCAATTAAGTATACAGTATACTCAGTAACCACAGAATATAGTTCTTACGAAGCTAACTGTCTGCTATAACAAACTAAATTAAATCGTTCTTCATAAGAATTGACATTTAAAATTCTAGAAGGTACGCCAGTACCTAACATTTTTATATATAATTTGATGGTTTGATCTCATGGATGTACCTGCTCTTTTATTTTTGTTCTTTATAAACTTAATTATAAAGAATCTTCAAAACATGTAGCACTGAAAAAAAACCATATAGCACTGGTTAAGTTTTAGGAAGTAGATTAATCATGAAGTGACCCATTCTTAAAACTTTAGCAGGGGAAACATCTTTATCAGCATAAAACATGAAAATTAGCAAGCAAAATAAAAAATTTTTCTCAGGTTGATGAATGTAGAAGGCTTCACACAGACAGCAACATTAAACCTCATACTTAAGCATGAACACGATTTCAGTAAATTGCAAGGTGAGAAATATATTCTAGGTAAAAGGAGCAGGACGAGCAAAGATTTGGAAGGAGGAAAAGAGAATAGGATAACTGATAACATTTATTGACTACCTACTCTGTGCCAGGAACTTTATAATATTCAATTTAATTTATACAACAGACTGTGGTAAATCTCAGACTTTATTCATCTGGGAATTCTATAAACACTTTAAATCAGTAGGTTTGTGTGGGTATACATTTCTTGTATATTACCTGGTACTGTTGATGCTCCTTTCACCATAGACCATACTGAATTGCAAGGGTGTGGGTGATCTCTGTTCAGTGAAAGGAGGAAATTGGAATTTAACATTTTTTAAAAATTTTATTTTGAAGGTAGTAAAATACAATAGAACAAGACAGAATAAAGCCAGTCAAGACAGTGGACTGAAATTGGTCTAGAACTTTAGAGCAGGATACCCAGATAACAGTAATAGGTACTGTAGTATATCTTGTTATCTTCACATGTTTATTCAATCAGGTATAGCAAAATCAAACCAAAAACAGAACATTATAGAACCTATCAAAACAGAGTATTGAATAGAGAAAAAATCAGAACAAAGCAAACAGTGAAAATAATATTTTCCTGCAAAGAGAAGATAGAAGGAAATGCCCCATATTTGCTATATTGCTTACAGTCATCCTCCCAAGAGATGCTCAGACCTCTGACCCCAGGACAGCATAATCAACCCACCAGTACAAGCATTTAGTTGCTTTACATGCCTTAGTTGCTATCAACTCTGGCTGTCCTCGACACCATCCAGTTGCTTAAGGTAGGGGGGAAGCATGGGACGTTTGGTTCCCAGCCCGTGCACTGGTAAACTCACGGGGGACACTGACTTGTCCTCTTCCTGACGCACCTCCTGCTTGCTCTGGCTGCTGCTGCTTACCAGGAAGGAGGGCTTGTTACTTTCTTGCTCAGCTCCCCAAGTTCCAACACGGCTGGATCTCGGGGGACATTGACTTGTTCTCTCCCTGGCATGCCTGCTGCTTGCTTGGAAATTGGAATATTAGAGACTAAATTACATGCTAAAAGTCAGATTTTACACAGGTAAATCAGCTTTTATACTGTTGGCTCTGTACCATATTGCCTTCCTTATGGCAATGAAAAATTTCATACTTGATTTTTCTAAGAGTAAAGATTTAATTAAGGTCTTTGTTACAGCAAAGTGAGATGGTCGTGTCTCCTTTCAGAAAGCTTAAATATGGAAGCTGAGTGTGAGATGAAGTAGAAATACCAGGTAGGAGGCCATAATACTGATGACTTGAATTGAGACATTTGGAGAATGAAGGCATATTTGAAGGTTGTCAAATAAATAATTTTGGTAATACTTGACATTCTATTAAACCTGCATATAATAAGGGAAGAGCAAAGGGTAAAAGATGACCAGTTTGAATTGAAGTATGGCAATGCTGGTGACCAATGCAGAAAATCTAGAATGAAAAGTAAGGTTTTTTTCTGGTGGAGATAACAGAATTTATTTTTATCAAACAATAAAATAGAATTCCTGTGTTCTGAAGATTTTTAGGACAGTTAAAAGCGTGTTCTTCCATTACCATTTTGCACAGGAATACACACTGGGATTTTTTTTGCTGTCCTTGACTCTTAAAATATAGTCATTATTCAAGAAAAAAAACCTCTCTCCCCAAAAGAATGACCATCCCAGCTCTTTTGTTAACAAAAAAGTTAAAAGATGATGAAATGTTCTTGCAGTTTAGAGGACCTGAGAAGAGACCATTAAGAATGAAATAAGCCCAAAGGCTCACCATACTTTTCATTTAGAGGAAGATGAGTACTTGAATGATAAATTCAAATACAGTTTGTAAATTTGTAAGATTTGTTCAAGTACCATTTCAGTGATCCAAGTGAAAATTGTGAGATTGAAGTATTTTTTAGGTATCCCTTCCCCAGCTCTCCACCCAAAAGACCTTTTTGGTGAGTATAATGATCCCCAATATATATAATAACAGAATAATGCAGACTTTATTATTATATGTATATAGACACAGAAATATATGCATGTATTACATATACAAAAATAATATTTAAATATTTTTAAAACACCCCAGTGATCTAAAATGAATCACTATTATGCATGGCTATTAGATTTATAAATTATTTTATTGGATAAGATTAGGTTTTTATGTTGATTTATTTTCTGGTTCTTTACACGGGATTATGTCATGTATATAAATTTTGGGGTTTTCTCCCTTAAGTGCTAGTTATGTTAGTTGTATTTTAAAATTCATATTTGAAATACAGCCTGCCTATTATAAAATCATACAGTTTAAGTTCATGGGTCTGATGAGTTTTAACAATTTTATACAATGGGAGCTGGGGATTTAGCTCAGCGGCATAAGTGCCTGCCTTGCAAGCAGGCAGTCATGAATTCGATCCCCGGTACTGATAAAAAGGAAAAAGACAAAAAAAAAAAAAAGAATAAAAAAATTTTATACAATGTACAGTTGTATGATCACTGATGATTCAAATTATAAAGCATTTCCTTTATCCTATAAATCTCTCTTGCACTTTTGCAGTAGTCTCTATCTTTAGCCCTAAACAACTA